TTTATATTTTCTAATACATGTGGGTTACTTAGAAAATAACAAAGCCATTCTATCCCACCCTAACTAAATGTGCAATCATGAGATATCTACCTGTGGGCAAAGATAAATCAGAATTACACATTTAATTACAATTGACATTTTAATCCATATGTGATTAATTAGTGCATGCAACATAATTAAGGATGCTGTGGCTACTCCTTAGAAAAATGCATGCTAATCATAAACATCATTAATGTGCATTTAAATTCCAAATATGCACAACTTAATGGAGAATTTAACAAATTAATTTAATCAATAAAAGTGACTAAATAATTTAATTAAAATTCTCCCACTATTTCATGCACCCAAAAAAAAAATTGTTTAATAAATTAATTTCAATATATTTCAACCGAAAAGAGTTTTACAAAATTTAAATAGTTAGTTCAATTGCCTAAAAACATTATCCAAAATAGGCAATTAAATAACAAATCAAATTAAATTTTGTAAATATTTTCCAAATGTCAAAATGTTGAAAAATAAATTATCCTTAATTTAAACCGTCATAGTGCATAAAATAACATTCAAAGAAACACATTACAAAACAAAATTAATTTATTTTGTGCAAATATATTCCGGAAAATCAAGTTAAATGGCCTAAAATAATTTTTTGGAAATAAAACCAAATGGCCCATACTTAAAAGTCTAAATAGAACCCAAAATAAGCATTCCAGAAACAAAACAAAGTTGTTCAAGCCCAAAACGAAAGTCCAGAAGATAAACAGAGACAAAAACTTAAATTTCTATACAAAAAGAGTCTAATATGAAGCCAAAAAGGTTACTGTTTCAACATTGTGCAAAATTTTTTTTGTTTTGCAAATGTGGCCCAAAAGAAAAGCCCATGCCGAGAGATAAGGAAAAAAAATTCCAGAAAATTAAAGTCCAAAGCTCTCGGCCCAATTCGGAAACCCATTAAAAACAACCAAAAAAAATAAAAGGCAAACAGGCCCAATTCACAAATTTTTTTTTTTTATAGAGGCCCAATATGCCCCAAAACACGTCTGGCCTAGATCCTAAATAAGTGAAATGGTGCATTTCACTGGAGCCCAAAACGACACCGTTTTTGACATCAGGTTGTCTTCCACATAGAGTCGGGTTAGGTCAACCCGACTCCCAACCGGCGTGCCACCCGGTTCTGCAGCCCCTAAAGGGAATTGAAAGACGGGCAACGGAAGATAAATTTTAAAACTTTCAATCCCTTGCCCGGATCTACTGATCGTGTTTAAGTCAAGTAGTAAGAAGCATTACCTTCGGTGTTTGATTTCTTGGTGGCTCGGTGATTCCGCTGTTCAGGATGCCTCTGCTCGCCTCCTTTGTCGTTCGAAGTCGACAACTCTGGTCGGCTTCCTCTACCGGTATCCACACGAATAGCTCTCAATCTCGAACAACGTGCTAACGTCTTTGTCCGTCTAGGGTTTTCAAAGAATTCGTCCTCCCTTCTCTCTTTTTGGCCGTCTCTTATCTGCAAGTGCTTTCACTCTCACACCCAAAACCCTAGCTCCTAATATCAAATATATAGGATGCTGTAGGTATTATGAATGATATTTAATTTCGAAATTAATCCTAAATTAATTCCGAAATTAATACAATATCAAATATTGCCTAATCAGATAAGAGAACAATTAAATAAATATGGTTTATATTAAATCCGTCTCACAGATTTAATTCACCTATTTATTTAATTCAAAATAAAGATATGACGGAATTAATTTATACAGATCTAATTTATCCTTATAAATTAAATCTAATAATTAATATCTCTTATATTTATATAATATGTATATATATACGAATTTATATATATATACACGTCCACCCTATATTATTTGTTGAATCTGGACATATCTTAGATTCAGTGAATCTGGACATCATAACTCATGTTGGGCTATTTTGTGTGCGACCCTGTAGGCCCATATGAAGTTGGCAGTGGGCCATTAACTATAATGACTCACAAGTCGTAAGCGGTCTCTAGCAAGACATCACGACTACCCAAATCATATGAGGATCGTTGAACGATGTAACCTTTCATACAACCATATCACGTCCCTTTTGTCACACGACATTTTGGTCATGGATGAGGCATGGAGAACGTCATCCTCCTATTCATGACCGTTACTTTCTTGATCCCTGAGTAGTCTGAGTATAGAAACGGAACTACCTTTCCATTATAGTATGGCCATACATTTCTCAGACTCACTCATCGAGGGGCCCAGTAATATCTCTCTACGAATGTGAGGGACAAATTCCATCTTGACCATTCACATTCTTCCGTATGAAAAACCACTAAGTCTGAACATAGTCTTTATGATCACTCGGTCAAAAGTGACTTTTGACTAGGTCAAAGCTGAGCGTTTCTCATGTAGGAATCCATGATGATCTCAGGTCAAAGGGCACAGTGACATGGTTTGTATATGAGAGAAGCTTATGACTTAACCCATGCAGCTCTTTCATAGCGGGTCGGTCCAACACCTTGTACTCTTACATGTGCCTATGACTTTAATTTATATCTCTATATATCTTTAAAGTCATATTGGTCTTATTTCATCTCTACTCCCACATAGATGACCGACCAGGGACATTTAGGATAAATCATGAGTTATTCAAGGATAGTCATCACAGTAAACATGCAAATATGATAACATAATTAATAAATTCATAAATCAACAATGTTCACATCACAATGATTGGCCCCTAGGGCACAATTTCCAACACCCCGCCATCGCAACTCTTGACGTCTCTTTCCGACGAGCCTAAACAAAAATCCTGCGATTTTATAGCATTTTCAGTGGCGGTTTTAATTGCTTTGTGCCCAGAAACAACAATAAGCAAAGTTTTAAACAAAACCAAAAAGAAAATTGAGCCAAAATGGAACAAGATATTAATTTTAATGAAAAAGAGTGACTGAAAAAAGGGGACCTCCATGGATGATGAAGTCAGTGATAGGTTTATCGGAGGGATAAAATTTCATCTCCTTCCGTCGCGTTAACTTGAGACTGAAGCTTAAACAATCAGAAATATAAACAATGTATCTTCAATTTTGGCTCTGGACTGATGGCGAAAGGCTTATTTCTTTCCCATTCAAAGCTCAAAATTTTCATAGATTCAGTAAAAATTGAAACTCAATGTAAACTTGAATGAAAAATGAATTTTGATCGAACCTTTAAAGACACAAGATGGTGATGTTCATAGGAAAATCAAAATTATTTTCCTCCATCCCAATAATCAGAAATTCATAACCTAAATATTCAGATTAAAAACAAACTAAACCAATCAAAAGGGATGCTCTCAAAATGGTTAAATAATTTTCGAAGTAGAAAATTGAACAAATTCAAATGAGCATCATAAAAGAATAAGGTGAGATGAATCAGGAACCAGGCTCTCATACCACGTGTAAGCAAAACAACACACACACACACACACATATTATTTAATCAATCCAGATTATATACATGTATATGAGACTCAAAAGAGTTATGGCAGAAGACTTATAAATACCTCACGTCATTAGCTCAGTTGATTTGATGTAGAACTCGATTTGAATGATAAGGAGCTGTGAATCTAAGAACATCGTTAAAGAAAGTAATACAGGAAATCTTCTAACTGGTGATTGGGCACAGTGATGGCAACTGGATTGTAGCCACACCAGTGGGGAACCCTCAGAGAGTGAGTAGAGAAGAAAATTAGGGTTTTGCTCCAGACTCAGTATACTGTATGTTATTTTTCATTATCAGAAGATTAACTTTAATTAACTAAGTCAGTTACCCATCTTGGACTGGGCCCAAAATGACTACAAGCCACACTCAGGATATTTATTAATTATCCTAATAATATCTAAATAGTCATAATATTATAAATATCTCACAATAGCTTCTACCTATCATGTCTTGGATGGGTATAGAATGTTGTTGAATGATGATTATTCCTTCTTTTGGAAGTGTCAATTGCCTCTTCTTCCCTTCGAAAGTCCAGTTATTCTTGTGGAAATTCTTAAGAAATCAATTGCTTACACAAGAGGCTCTATTGCAACATCGTGTACCTATTCAGCTAGGGTGTTTTTTTTTTTTTTTTTTTGTGATGAACGGACTGAACCCATGACTCACCTTTTCTTTCAATGTCACTTGTCACATCCGGTTTGGTTTGGAATCCCGCTGGCTCTGCATTCCAGCACGGTTCGGCTATCCTCTGCTTCTCAATGGTTGTTTGATATTCTAAGGGATAGTGATAATAATGTAATTAATTAGGTGGGTGCGCTGGACATCATATTGCACTTGGCGGGGGCGTAATAATAAGCTATTTGCTGGCAGAGTTGCCTCACCTGAATCAGTGGTGGAGGTGATTACTTGGAATGCCCAACACCAAAGTTCTATTTCCAGTCCTTCTGATGTTCAACCCCAGCACCCTCCTCTTCCGCATAAATTGGTCTAGTTGGTCTACTTGTATTAGTAAGATATGCAGGAATTCCAGATCAAAGTGGTTGCCGCGGTTCATGATATTTCAACCAAAAAGAATCTTCTGTCCCCCCCTCAAGAAAGTTTTGCTATTCTTGATCAATCAAGAGATTATAATTAAACTGTGTTTGTTTGATGTTCTTGTGCAGGCGGAGGATACTTAAGTGCTCTAGAGTGTTGTCGTGGGACACAGCTTTTTAGGAATGCTCAAGAGTTCTTAGATTGTTCTATACTGTTATCTAGGTTTAGGCTTGCTAACAAGTACTTTATCAAGTTTGACGTATTTTTGTGAATTATAGGTATGGAGTTACCATTTTTTGTTTTTGTTACGTGTAATAGCCTTTTGCACATGAAAATAATAATAATAATGTATAAGAGAGAGATGCTTTCGTCCAAATCTAAACCCTTTTCTAAAACAGCTTCCTATTGGGCTTTTTTTTTTTTTTGTGATGGCTTTCCATTGATTTTATTCACCGTCAAAATGATTGGTTAGGACTAAGGATTCAAGCTGAAGAAACGACGGCCGAGATCTATCGCTAGAACGCGCGATTTGGAGCGTTCATTAACGGACAGTCTTGATGAGGAGATGTACATCGCGCCTTCTCACTGGAGATGTAGAGAGAGAACGCTTTTCAGAACAGCGCAAGTAGGGTTTAGAGAAAATGGGTGGCAAGGGAAGAAGAAGAAGGGAGAAGAACTACAGAGCCGCTCATGGAGGCTCCAACGTCCTCCCTCCTCCACCTGATCCTTCCATGGTGGACGCTTTGCCCTCAAAACTTCGTCGGATCATCTCTTTCACTTCTTCCTCTCAACCAGATATCAAACAACAAAAGACGCACGAGGGTGACAATGCCCAAGCTGTAAGTTCCATCTGATTTTTCATCTTAAACGTCAAAACTCCAAGTTGAAAGTCAGATATAACTGCTAATGTTAGTAAAAAAAAGAAAAAGTAAATTTGACTTGTTATATCCTAGCCCATTGTAATTTTCATTTTAAGTTGCTTTTGTAAAGACAAAATATGACCCAATAATCGGATATGTTGAAGGAAACGAGTGTTACTGATTTGTATTCGTTGTAAGGTGTCCCGGTTTTTGTTCTTAAATTTGTGGAAGGCATTTTATTGCTGTGGAGAGGAATAATAATTTGGGATCAAATGATAATTAAAAGCATAAGCATTCTGTCCTGTTCAGTTTTTTAATTCGTGTAGCTGCCAAGTTGTCATTCCTTGTATTTAGGGCTGATTTAAGACTGATTTATATTTTCTTCCTATAATTTCTGTTGTGGAATTCCCTACTGGTTGAGCTCGAGTTGTCGAGCTGTGTTTGAGCTATTCCGTGTCCTCTATTTCCATCTCTTGTATAATTTTATTTAATTAAAGTCATGGTCTTGTGATTCTAACTTTTAAGCGCTACTGAAGCGATGTGTTTTTCCTCATAGACTTGGAAGAAGTTTCGTGAATATGAAAATTCTGCCACCTTTAACAATAATGTTTTGGCTGGTTTGTTTTGTTGTAGTTCATTTTATTTTACTTGGGCTCTGTTTATGACTTTTCATGCATATCTGACAGTTAAAGGACAAAGTTCAAGTCAATCCCAGAGATACCAGGCCGGAAGGTACCGATGCACAATTGCAGGCACCTCATCATAAAGATAATAACGATGAACAAATTGGGAGGAGTAGTACAATCGAAAAGAACAAGAAAAAGAGAAAGAGGAAGGAGGTTAAAGACCTGAGGTTTGAAATGGAAGTGGAGAAAACAAGATCCCGGATAAAGAGACGAGAGCGCAAGAAAAAGTAAGTGAAAGGACGTATAGTTAATTTTTCTGTTCTACTTTCTTTCTCAATTATTTTTTAAGGATTTTGTCATTTGTTGTTAAATAATGCGTTGAAAAAGATTGAATCTTTTGGATATTGCTAAATTGATGGACTTTATGCTGCATCTGTGTTGACTCATTTACCCCCATGATTCACTTGGAGCAGAAGCTTAGTGTTGGATCTTGTAATGTTTTGAAGTTTAAATTTGGCTTGAAAGTAACTCTAATGTTCGTCGAAAGAATGCTAAGTCAATTGGACGCTTGGAGAACTGTATTGTTTTCAGATGAGTTGTTTTTGGAATCCTGCTGCTATGTTGGCCTGGTTTTAAAACTGTGGTATTATCAAATGATTTCCTGCACAAAGAAAAATCACAAGTTTTCGTTTAGATTTGAAAGGGTGCTTTCTTCATTGTGTTTCCCAACAGTATGACTATACTAATCTTGGATCATTTAGTTTAAGCACGTTGGGGTCTGCTTTCCTTTTGTTAAGCCTGGAACTAGGATCGTGGGGCTTTATTTGTATTTTCTTTTTTAAAGAAGAAATTTAATCTTTTTACCTCTTCATCATTTATTAGAAAAAAGACATTGTGAGTTGTCAAAGGCCGTTTATTATGTCATACTGTCAGTCATGTTTATCCTCATTTTTTTACAGAGAAAATAGAAACATGCATATGTCCATTCAGTTACATCTTCTGTTCCTTATATGCATTTGGAATTAAACTTTGGGACGATGTCTTTTAAAACAGCATATTACCTTTTCACAACTGTAGCTTACTTGTCCTATGATGTATTATCATGTAGGTATTTGGAGGCAAAAAAGAAGAACAAAAAGAACAATACAGAAGAGCAGGACTTTCCTGGACATGAAAATATAAAATTTGGAGACATTGTGGAAGGCCCACCAAAGTTGAATGTTATTCCTAAGGTAGATTCTCGAACTTCTTACATTATCATAATGAACCTATCGATAATAGGATTTCAAGAAAATGTTATTTCATGTGTCATAAAGGCATTCAAGAACCCCCAAGATGCTTCACAAGAGAGACTCAGACTCAAAGCTATAGAGCAATACCGAAGTCGCAAGGGTTGGGTTTCAAGGCCAGGAAGTCACTTGCCGCCACCAGTGACTGCATCAACATTATAAACCACTTTCAGCATTTTGTCACACATACTCTGCATGAGGCATTGGTGTCTGCTAGCTGCACAATGTAGCTGTTATGTGTTGTACTGGAAAGCAAATGTGGCTTTTCCTTTTTTCAGGTTGGTTAATTGTTCTTGTAATGAAAATTTGTTTCTCAATATATAGTAAAAAAGAGTAGATGGAAAGAACAATTTGACACCTAAGTTAGAAAATGATATGGCCTAGTCCAGCATTAGTTATGACCTCGATCCATCTGATCAATTTTGAATCTTGCAACTCTCTTGAGTAAATGACATACGTCTCTTCTGATTGTTTTTCTTTGAATGTCTTCATCTGTGTCCTTCGCTAAGTATGGCATATTCTTTTGACATGTAAATTGCAAGTGAAACTGTTGAGGATAAAAGATGATGTCTATCTGTAGCTGCCATTTAATGGCAGTCCTGATTCCTTTGAGTGCTTCTTGTTGCCTGTCATGCTGTGGAGAGAATCTGGAGAAGAAATGTCTGGCCAGTGTTAGATGAAAAAGCTTTCGGCAATAGCAAACTGAGATGCCAATAATCGGGTAACCAAGGAGAACATTAAAGCAAAGCCCTGCCGGTCTTCAACGAAGAGGAAGGAAGCCACAGATAAATGATTTGGACTGGCAAGGGGGTAATCAAGATTCAGTAACAAATAGGGCTAAAAGAGATTGAGGTCCAGATAATTCAACCGTGAAGGTTACTAGATAATGGATGGACGGTTATCATTAATACAAACAACAAACCCAAGTATTGATTAATTATATCGTAGTCATGGTTTCAAGGCTAAAATCATGATTTTTTTTATGAAGTTTGAGTGATTAGCTTTTCAGGAAAATAACGACAGTATTAAAGGTAATATGCCAAAAAATAATATCCTCCATTCAACCATTAGCTCTCTTCTTTCTTTGTAATTATTACATTAACTTATGTTATTCAACCGTATAAAGAAATGGATGAGAGTAATTTAATAATCGAACGATTAAAATAATTTGTCCTGAAGTCCCTAGGAACTTCAAATTCAATTTGATTGTTTTATGGAACTTTTTAGTGATAACGTGAAGTATTACCAAAGCCTCTCGCAAACCATCTGGACTGATCATATAGGCCCTGAATATCCCAGGGGATGACAACCCAACATTAAGAGAACTCTGAAGTGGGAAAGATGGTGCCAAGAGCATTGAAAGCATGCGTTGAGATTGCAACTGCAACATCACAATCCAAGAGCTCATCAAAGAGCCCTCAAAAGATTTAGCCCAAGCTTGATGTAACTGAAAAGCATGTCATTTTATTCTTAAAAAAATAACTAAGTTAAATGTAGTAGAAAGTGATATGTAGCCTAGGTCATGTCTCAAAGGAGCCTAATGGAGCCACAAATTAACAATTTAGTCAATGCAAAGTATAAGAAGATTACTTGATTGATTTGCTAGTTTTAAATTGCTTGATTGATTTGCTAGTTTTAAATCCTAAGAGCTATATAAATTATGATTTTATATGCAAAAAAAAAAAAAAGGAATTGTGAACTAAGGGAAAGAAATGATAATGACAGTGATGATTAAGAATATATGATAGGGTTAGGGTGCAGAATTGTTGTGAAAATTTTCACTCAGGATCACTGAGTATCAAGATTTTTTTTTTAGGTGCAAATTTGCCCATGAAATTGTTGATCTCCTTCCTCTCAGCCATATGATTCAAGTGGTGCATCTACTTTTGATTGGGTCCTCCGTCTTTATGTTGTTGGTCTCTTTTCCTCAGGTCGAAGTACTTAGGCTCCTGCTATATTCTCTAGTTTTATAATGTAAAGGGGGCCCAAATATTTATGTATCATTTGACATTTTTAAATAAAATTATGTTTTTATTAAAAAAAAGTTTGTGATGATTTTCCTTGTAATAGATAGAAGCAAAATAGTCGTAATTTATCAAATGAAATTCAATTACGCTTTAGAGGGGAATTAAGTTTGAGTTCCACTCAAATTAAGACTAAACTCAAAGGATAAATTCCTTAACAATGTTAAGAACTGCATTAGATCGCTCAGGGTCCCCCATATCAACCTTGTGGAACCCCACAGGATCAAACCTCGCTGCCACCTGGACCCCACACTTCACGAGCATCGTCACAAGCTCTTGTTGGCGATCAATTAGAATGTCCCCACCAAAGCCAATCACAAGGCATTTTGCAAGCTTTCCTATTGCCTCCTTGTGTGGACCTTCCAACAGAGGATTACAGTATCTGTGGTCCCTATCGGTTTGCTTTGGCAGCACTAGCTCCCACATCAAGTCCACAACATTTAGCGGCAAGAGCTCGTCCGCAGCCAATCGCAGCTCCGACTTCGTCCTCTTCACTCCTCCAAACATAGGTTGGTTCATTATTATTCCCTGAATTCTCAATGGCTCTAATTTTAACTGGGAAACTTTTATACCCAAATTGAACACAATGTTTCCACCACATCCACATCCATAAAGGTGATGCGATACAGCAAGCTAACTCCTCAACTTCCAATGATCCATTACAAATCCCAACTGGACCATCACAAGAGCAAGAGCTAAAAGAATTAAGGAAGCTTTGAGTGGGCTAGTGCAAGACACCTTGACAAAGCAAATGGCATTTATTGGAGTATCAAATCTGGATAAAAATGCTGAGGATGTCACTAATGTCATTTGGGCTGAAAATGGAGCTACTGATCATATCTTGGGCTTGGAGACTTCAATTTAAGGAGCTTGGATCAAGTACAAACCATGAGAAGACTCATTTGGGCCTAATTAATCATATTTTGGGCTTGATATGCTGATTATATTTCATTAAATGCATTTGTGCGAAAATTCATAATTAGTTGGCAGATTTGACTTTTGAATTTCCAAGTTACCTAAATCAAGTCCTTATGAATTTATTATGTTTTGATTTTCTAGATTGCATTTAATGCTTTTTAGGTCAGATCTTGAATGTATCCTCTATAAGATATTGTAACCCTCATTGTGGGAGCAGATTTGGAATTTTGAATGAAAACTTGCATTTTGCAATTTCTGATTGAGAGGAGTTCTCTCTAGGGTTCTTCATTGAACTAACAGACTTATCAAGGCTTGATCAATCTTGTGGCGTCTTTCAACACTTCGGGTCCTTGTTCTTCCGTGTTCAAGGGTTCAAGTAGATCACCAGACCTTTGTTTACGTTCTTGGGGTGCGTATATTCAGATCGGTTGTGGGTTCGTGGGATTTTTCCCTTGTGGGTTCTCACCATCTTGGTATCAGAGCTTTGATCTAAACTCAGGTCATATTTTTCTGTTAGTTTACCTTCATTTTCGTTCTTCATTTGGTGCCTTTTCTTGTGTCTGTTCGTCTTCTGCGTTTCTGTTCATCACCGAAATTGTCATCCTTGTCCATTCACTTTTCCGTTGAGTTTTGTGAAGTTTAATAGGTCATTTTCATAGTTCGGAATCCCTTCTTTCGTCTCGTTTTGGTTTCATCTAAATCCGACTTTTGTAGGGCAAGTTATACCCATTTGAAAAGGACGCGTTTTCTGGAATTTCTGGGTTCAGATTGCTTGTCTGTTTTGTTTATGGTATTTTTGTGATTTTCCTTGCATTATTCAGTGAAAAAAAAAAAAGAAAAGAAAAGGGAAAAGACAAGAAAAAAAAAAGGTACCCAAAAGAAAGGAACAGAAAAAAAAAACGAAAAGAAAATATAGTGCTGGTAGTGTTTTGAGCAAATCATCTTCATATCCAAATTCTATTTTGGCTTTTGCAATACTTGTGTCAATTGAGTTTCTGATTTTTCTTGAAGGTCCATATTCAATACTCTTAATTTCTCAAAGTTCCTAAGTGTTGGCTGATTCTGCATATTGTGATTGCTTTGTTTAAATTGTTTAGTTCTTTAAAGAGCCTCAAGAGGGATTTCAGAGTGGAAAAAGGCAAGAGTGATATACCTCAATTTAAAAGCCAAGTTTGAGTGAAACACGAGTGTTGAGTGTCATTCTTGAGGGAAACACGTGAGGAAATTTGTGAGGAACTTTACTTCACTAACATAATTAATTTTCCTTGAAGTCACAATGTCTAATGCAGATGGGACATCTGGTGGTAGTGGAAATCAATGAATATTGAAGACACCCTTAGGGCAATGCAGCAACATTTTCAACGGATGAATGTGGTTTATGGAGAGATAAGGGATAGAATGGATAGACAAGATGAAAGGATTGTAAATCTGCAAAGAGCCCAATCTAAACCTAGAAGGCATGGAAGGCAAAGGGAGGTTTCTATGGATGACTTTGAATCTGAAAATAACAAAGTTGGTGGTAGTGAGGATGAAGTCAATTCTGAATCTGAAGTTGAACTGATAAGGAATAGGTATAGAGGGGATAGGTATGGGAGAAGATATGGGAGAAATAACCCAAGGGAGAGAGATAGAGTAGATGGGAACCTTGGGAGCATCAAATGAAGATACCATCATTCCAAGGTAGAAATGATCCTGAAGCCTACTTAGAGTGGGAAAAGAAAATAGAAATGATCTTTGAGTGTCATAATTATTCTGAAGCTAAAAAGGTGAAGTTGGCAGCAATAGAATTCACTGATTATGCCATTGTTGGTGGGATATAAATTGGGTATTAATAGGAGGAATAATGGAGAGAGGCCTGTAACAACTTGGAGCGAAATGAAAGCTCTAATGAAGAAGAGATTTGTTCCTAACCATTATTTTAGAGAGTTATCAAAAGTTGCAGACCCTTACACAAGGTCCTAGGAGTGTAGAGGAGTACAATAAGGAGATGGAATTGCCATGATAAGAGCTAATGTGCAAGAAGATAGAGAAGCAACAATGGCCCGATTTCTAAGTGGGTTGAACAAAGATATAGCTGATATAGTTGAATTGATCATGGTGCATATGGCTATTAAGGTGGAGGAAAAGCAACTCAAGCGAAAAGGTGCTTCAAAATTTCATTCTGGATCAAACTTCTTCTTTCAAACAGAATTGAAGAAAGGAGAAAAAGCTATCCAAAAGGAGACCACTGGAGGCAAAGAAGAAGCTTCATCAAAGAGCAAAGTAAATCTGTTCCCAAACTTCTAGAAATAGGGATATAAAATGTTTTCAAGTGTTTGGGTACAGGTCATATTGCTTCTCAATGCCCCAACAAGAGAGTTATGATTCTGAAAAATAATGAAGTTGTGACTGAAAGTGAGAGTGAAGTGAAAGTGATGACTCCATGCCCCTACTTGAGGATGCTAGTGATGATGGGATTGAGTGCTGTGGAAGGAGAATGCCTTGTGTTAGAAGAGCCTTGAATGTCAAGTGAAGGAAGATGAGTTGAATGAGCAAAGGGAAAATAGTTTCCATACTCTCGGCCTCATTAATAACAAGGTATGTAGTTTGATAATTGATGGTGGGAGTGTTACAAATGTTACAAGCACTACAATGGTTGAGAATTACATTTGCCCACTGTTAGACACCCTAGACCATACAAGCTGCAATGGCTGAATGGGGATGTGGGGAGATTAAAGTTGATAAGCAAGTTCTTGTTTCTTTTTCAATTGGGAAGTATTGTGATGAAGTATTATGTGATGTTGTTCCTATTCATGCTGGACATATACTTTTGGAAGACCTTGGGAATTTGATAGAAAGGTAAGAAAGATGG